AAAAACCCATAATGTTCTCCATTTTCTTTAACTAAACTAGTTTTCTAGTAACCAAAAGGACCAAGCGATTAAATATTATGCTATTAAATTTGTTGATTGGTTCATGCTTGCTCACTACAATGAGTTTCTCACGAGATAAATATGAGAGATATTTGAGAAACAAAATACATTCTCCGTTGAGGTGGTTCAGGGCTTTAAATCATCATTATTAGGCATAAAATAAAAATACGTCAATCACGATACATCATCAAAGCATAAGTGTTTGACAATTTATCCATAACACTTGCATAACTGTCCGGACAGAGGTGCAGACTATTTTTAAAATCTTCATTACAAACTTGATAAGGTAAACAGATGATTCACGCGTTGATAGCATCTCTAAGCGATAAACTTAGCAGCTATATGTAGATCTATAGACTATGTTTTATCCATGGTAAATCGTAGCAAATTCGTGTTTTTCATTTGTAAGAAACAGATGCACTATCTGAGTCCTGAAGGCACTAGATAAAAAAGTGGGTGCATCGATAAAACCACTTTCACAGATTGGTTCAAAACAATCGTGTTGCCTTTTGCCCGGTCAAAAGAGGGCAAGAAATTGTTGATCGGTGACAGCCTGCCTAAACATTTTTCACCATAGGTCGTCAAACTTACCATTGATAAAATATATTATTCGTTTATCTGCCTCCAACTCAGACGTTTAAATACAACGTTATAAGACCGTTGTAACAGGTCTGGAGGGACATTACGTTATTCAAAATCTAATAAATAAAATACGTAAACATTGATTACAAGTCCATGACAGCCATGTTTTCATCACACGCGGATGTTTGTTTTGGTAATGGAAAGAGTGACAACACGTGTCAGCTCTCACGACTGTAAACAACAAGTGATATTGATATTGTCTTTTGAAATAATCCAAAAGCTGTTCGTAAAAATTAGGTTTAGAGATGTACGTTCAAACTTTTATCAACTGTTTTGCCCGAAACGTGAGTATACAAGATATTACTGTGCAAATCGTTTACTAAAAACATATAAGTTTGTGTGTTTTAATCGTTAGGAGTTTAAGTTTTTATCTGTACTACATCCATGCGTGGAAAGTTTATTGAAACACGAGTTAGACGAAAATTACATTTTGAAAATCAGTCTTTCTTACTAACAATTCTCTAGTCTTCCTAATAGATCAAAGTCTGTTTGTCTAGCTATCGAATTTAAACCTAAAAATCCAGCGGAAGGATTGTTACTGAATTTTGGAATTAGGGACTTACAGCCTTAAAAACATTATTGACATCCAGTACCTCAGGAAAATTATTATTTCGCAACACAACTCGTTTGAAAATTAACATTGGCCTCAAGGGTTGCCAAGTAACTATGTTGTAACTATTTTTTATAGTTAACATAGTTTTTATAATACAGCTTTATTCATTCTATAGAAGAACAATTAGAAGAACAAAAGGGTAAGAAAATAAAAAGGAATCCATCCGAATGGAAACGAAACAAAATGAAAATAATAAATTTGGAAGGGGAAGAACACAAAGACTATAAAGGCCAATTGGTGCCATCACTGCCGATGGGTAAACATTGCAGGTAGGCTTAATAAAAAATTTTCTCTAGTTAATATTAAACAACAGTAACATAACCCTGCTATTTTTTTAAGTTTTCTAAAACCTAACCTACAACGCTTGTTGCACTTAGTAGGCTACAGTGCTAACGAAGTTTTTTTATTAACAAGGGTCTAATAACTTGCTGGGGCTACACTGAAAACAATGTGTTAATGTATTGTGTTTTTTTCAGGAGCACGAAGGTTTGAGCGGATATCAGAAGATGAATTCGTTGAAACATTTAAACGTGTTCACGATTTACCAACCAAGAACGATCAGGACTTATACCTTCAATCCCTTATAGAATCCTATGATGTTAAACGACATCGCCCTCCAAAAAATGAACCAAGACAGGTAGCAAAAATGTTTACTCATTTTACACGTGTTGGAAGTGAGAAGACTGAGGTATGTTATAAGGCCTTTTTATCCCTTCACGATGTGATAGCTCTAGAAGGCAAAACCCCTACAGATTGTATGGGAAAGGGTAAGCGCGCTAATGCTTTGACCGCTGAGACGGGAACTGATCAGGAACCACATTGAAAGCTTCCCCACCAAGATTTCTCGTTATTCTGGTAAAACAAAATATTTTTTGGGTGCAAGGCTTTCTGTTGCAACCATGTACCGTATGTTTCAAGAAAAAAATCCAGAGTTAAAATGTGGCTATAAGTTTTATCTGGATTTTTTAAATGAAAACTTTAATTTGACTTTTGGTAGGAATCATATACACAATAACATACAATAACAATAACATACATAATAACAATCATATATTTGGTAAATCATATACACTATGTTAAATTACCGTATATACACCACGCGTCTTTAATTTTTCAGGTAATATTTCAAAATAATCTAGAGAAAACAACAAAAGATCTGAAAGAGTACCTCGAGAGTCTCTAAAAGATTCCCGATAGGTCTGTTTTCCCGCGGGAATTTTTGGGTAGGCCCCAAATAGACACATGCTCTCTTTGCGAGGAACTTGAATTAAAAATTAAAAAGTCCACATCTTAGCGAAAATGTCAGAAGGTCAGCTGCAGCAGAGCTTTTAGTACACAAAAGGATTGCAAAATAAAGTACAATTAATTAAAACAAGAAGCGGAATCAACAACTGAGCCTAACGTTTTATCCTTGTGCACGGACTTTATGCAAAATGTTCCTATACCTATGATTCCCATCCAGGACACATTTTACATGAGACAGTTAACTGTCAATGTGTTTTGCGTTCACATTGTGAGTTTACCTTTTTATTTCATTTAAGTGGGTTAATTAACTGTATTCACGCACTTCTTACCGGCTTTATATTTACATCAAGTTAAGGACAATAATATGGAAACAGACAGTGAAGATGAGTTATTTGTAGATTCAATTTTTAGTACACTGAAAAAGGAATCTTCAGGTACACTGATCAGTAAGTAGTTCCTTTTAGCATTTATTTTGTATTTTTTAGGTTAGCCTATTTATATCTATAACTGTTCTAAATTACAAAATTGGTTTTTTGTTTAGGTCTAGTGTGTTTAATGATATGCATTTCAGTTTTCTCATACAAATCTGTACTGGTGAACATACAAATCTCTTATCGTTCAGCCTGTATGGCCAACAAAAACATTGTACAGCCTATAACCTTAAAATTTAAAAACTCTGTAAGAACCAGTTACCGTACTTAAATCTTGTTATAGGCCTAGTGCCTATAAATTTAGTAGAATCTCTGTGCCATAGAGATATAAACTTCGTTAAATACGCTTACGGCAAAACTTGGATATCCTACACCATCGCTATTAGCCTATCGATGTTTTTGGACGATTATCGACGTTTCGAATTTCGATATATCAATTGGGTTATGTTAGGTAGGTTATTGATAGAAAAAATCAATCGATATATCGAGGTTAGTAACATCAATAATAACGATGGTGTAGGATATCCAAGTTTTGCCTACGCTTTCATCGTAACTATCTATACTTATCGTCAATGTTTCCGAATTCGATATATCGATTGCTTTGGTATCGAAATTCCCAATCGATAATTACAATGGAGGCGTGTAACAAAGTTTTGCCCTACAGACATTAGCCTAGATGAAAGATATGATTTAAAATGATGAAATTCACTAACTTTATATTGGCCTACTATCTTAACTGTCATGAATCCTAACTGTGTAATACTGCACAAAATGGACTTATTGAAATGGGCATAAGACAACCCTTTGAAACGAAGAGCTAGACTTATGTAGGCAAAAACAGTTTAAAGTTGGTAGCCTACTGCAGGTCCGAGAAGATATCAGGAAGCAAGAAAATTCTAGGATCTATAAAATTACAACATCTATCAAGTTTCTAAAGCTGTTGTTTGTTTTTAGGAGATGTGCCAACCAGATCTGGGCCTACAAACAAATGTGAAAAAACAGGAATGGAAATTATTGAAGAGCCAGTCCCAAATGAATCCCTATTGTTACTGGAGTGTTCGACTGAGGTCACGTTGCCTGAAGGTTTGACGCTAAGTGATATTGTAGATCAAAGTTTTGAACTTGTCAATGAAACGCCTCATGAGGAAAGTTACATATCTGTGCCTGCAGAGTCGAGTGAAGTAAATGATTTTTTGATGATGATATGCTCAAAGATCCTGATTTCAATCCTGATTTGTCTTTTAACGGTTCTGATTCCGAAGATGTCGACAACCCTGGAACTCCTCCCAGTGCGTTATGAGCCAGTAAACATTAGTCTAGGGGAAATTTCCCCTGATGTTTTAAACAACTCAAACAAACAGAACATTGAAAACAGTACAACTGAGAGTAGGGCTAATGACATGCAATCAGGCCCATCTGAAGGCCTAAAGCGCAAAAGGAATAGAAAAGCAGAACCCGAAACTTGGGAAATAAATCTTAATAAACGTAAACGAATGCTTGGACAAAAGTACATTGGATTCAAGAGAACGAATAATGATAATGGGCACATCGTAGTTACGAGGGGTCCAGAAAGAAACAAAAGACAAATGGGCCCACCGTGTACCTCGTATGTTTGCAGTAAAAGCAACAAAAGACACTGTGAACAAATTCCTGAAGAGGATAGAAAAACCCCTTTTGATGAGTTTTGGAAAATGTCTTGGGCAGAAAAAAAAGTTTATGTTAAGGCTCTTGTGTCTGTAACTTGTCCAAAATCGAGGAGAGGGAAAGACTCGAAAAGGCGCTCAGGGACATTTTTTTACCACTTAAAACACCAAGGCATAACCAGGCCTTGGCGTGCTGCTGTCTTAATGTGCAGTGATATATCTTCATAAAATATACAAAATACACGTAAATTAATTAGTAAACTTTATTCCAGAACTAATTCAACACAAAATAATAAATGTAAACAATAACAATAATATCAACAATAATCATCTGATTATTTAAGCATATGACAATCCTCCCCCCTATTAAGCTGCTCTTAGTTGGTCGCAGTGTCTCTTAAATAACCGCCCGTCTTCTGATTGGACAAGGTACATCACGTTCCCAAGCGGCCTTTCTACTATTCCTCTTGACCAAATTTCTTCTGACATGTTTGAATAATTTCTCATCAACACTATTTGTCCTTTTGAGAAACTTCTTCTAGTTAAAACTTGACGTTTCATTTGCGGTGTGGGTGTCCTCTCAACCATTAAATCCATTTCGGTTCTTACGTTTCTCCCAAACATAAGCAAGTATGGAGATTGTCCTGTTGCTGAATGGTGCGTCTTCCTTAGCTGTTTCAGTATCGTGTTTATCTTATCCTCATTGTGTCCTCCCCCACAAGCATGTAAGAGGTTCTTGACCGTTTGAACTGACCTTTCTACTTGACCATTAGATTTTGGACAAAAAGGAGCGATTGTTTTATGTATTATTTTATACTTCTTGAGGTAGTTTTCAAACAAAGTTGATGTTAACTGAGTCCCGTTGTCTGAAACAAGGACATGAGGATAACCGAATGTTGCAAATAAGTTATCTAGTTGTTTTAGGCACCAGTCAGTTGTTGTCGATTTAGTCGGGATGACCTCTACCCATTTACTGTAAGCATCGACAACAATGAAGTAACTCCAGCCTTTTATTGGTCCTGCAAAGTCTACGTGAATACGTTCCCATGGCCCGCTTGGAGGTTCCCATGGGTGGACCGTTTCCTTAGGTGGACTTTTGAGCTTTTGTTGGCATGAGTAGCAATGTTTGACTAAATTTTCTATCTCCTGATCAATATTTTGCCAATAGCAGTAACTTCTAGCCAGAAGTTTCATCTTCGTCATGCCCATATGACCGGCATGCAACTCGTTTAGAACTTGTTTTCTTAAAGTTAAAGGTACGCATATTCTATTCCCTCTGAACACACAGCCATCCATTAAGCAAAACTCATTGGCATTTAATCCCAGTTCTTTTAAACTTTTTCCTGTGTTTAAATAGTGTGATATCACTTTGAGATTTTCATCTTTCCTTGTTTCCTCTTCAATCTTTATTCTTGTCACTGGCATTGCTTCCACTTGGTTCATCAGGTACTGCTCGTGATCATCAAATACATTTTCTGGTACCTCGGTGACCGGAAATCGAGATAAAAAGTCTGCATTAGCGTGTTCTGTTGTATTGCGGTATTCAATCGTGTAATCAAATCCTGATAAAAAGTGAGCATAGTTAAACATTCTTGAAGCTGTCATTGAAGGTAAGGTTTTTGCAGGATCAAAAATGGAAACGAGGGGTTTGTGATCTGTAATTAGAACAAATTTTCTTCCATAACAATAGGCGAAAAATTTCTTCAACCCCCAGTAAATTCCTACCGCTTCTTTGTCGATTTGGCTGTACTTCCTTTCTGATTTTGTGAGAGTTCTTGAGGCAAATGCTATTGGTTTCTCTGATCCATCTTTGTATCTGTGAGATAAACAAGCACCTAAGCCAGTTGGACTTGCATCCGTAGCAAGTACCAATGCTTCACTCGGATCATAATGAGCTAATATTCGTTCACTGGTGATTTCAGCTTTGATCTTCACAAAGGCATCCTCGCACTCCTTATTCCATGTAAACTTCTTTCCATGTCTTAGTAGATTATTTAATGGTTCCAGATAGGTTGACATGTTAGGCACAAATCGAGTGTAGTAATTTGTGAGTCCTAGGAAACTTCTTAGTTGAGTGATATCTTCGGGTCTCTTTGCTTTACGTATAGCTTCAACATTGTCAGGTGATTTATGAAGACCATTCTCATCTATAACATGGCCTAGATACTTCACACTTTTCTTGAAGAATTTGCATTTGTCCTGATTCAATCGTAAGTTATATTGTCTAATTCTTAGAAAAACCTCTTTAGTCGACTCATAGTTTCTTGGAATGTGCTCTGTGACGCAAGCGCCACAGCTTCATGGCGTAAGGCGCTAGCATGCCGTTCAACCGGTCTTTTTTCTTGGACCAATTTTTTTCTAAGCTCAGCCGGCTCGCCTCTTCTCTCGCCCCTGTCTGCCCGCTGCCGTGATTTGACAAACTTCGAGTCTTCAAACTTCGTACAGAATGAACAATAATCAAGCTAAGTCAAATTATTAGTTTTAAGTAAAATATAAAAAATATGTTAGGCTAGAAGTAAATCTCAGGGGGGGAAGCCACTGGCTTCGCAGGTACGCTGGAAAATGTAGTAAATAACTACCAAGTTTGATTCCGCCTAACGGAATCAAACAATCTTTTTCATGTTTCGAAGTCACATGTTCCAAGAGATTAAGTTGCCGGTAAGAGGGGTTGCTTAGTTCATATACCAGTTACAATTCAAACAAATCTTGCTTCAATCAGGTTTTCTTATATATATATTTATATATTAGTTTGGAAGGTGTCAATCAAATTAGGGTATTTAAGTGTGTTAGTTAAATAAGTGTAATCAAAGCTGGCTTGGGCTGTCTTCCTGGTCCAATTCTCTGGGCCCCCATCACACATTTCCAGTAATCCAAAGTAATACTGACAACCAGAATAGTTTAAAACCATATCACAAGATTACCTTACACCACAAATGGTAGCAGAGCTTTAGGCCTGGACCAGTAAGTGAGCTTTTACCGGCTTGGGTTACACATTTTGCTTAGGTCTAGTTTCAACACAGTTTTTCATTTGAGGTTAGTCCTAGCCTTTTGAAATATTTCAAGTTAGGCTAGTCAAAAATATTTTCTTACAGTTGAGTTGTTCCTTATTGCATTTTCTGGCCAGATTTTACTACCTTGGGTTATTTAGTTAGGCAGACAGGGCTGTAGGCCTAGAGCATGGTAAAGTCTGTGTTGCAAGGTTACCAAGTGTTAGGCCTGTAGGGGTGGCAGACCCAACTGTTTATTTGTAGGGCTATGCTGTTTGTTTAAAGTTGTTTCAGACTAGTAGCAGTCAACCTCAACCGTCAGGGCAGTGTTTTAAGTGTTAGCCTGAGTTTAAGTGTTTTAATTGCAGTAAGCCTATTCAAGAGGCATTTTTATGGCATAAAATTACTCCTTGGGGCAGGTCATAAGGTAGGTAAATGGCCTTACCCCAAATATTTTGTTAATGTAAATTGGCATTTTGCTAAGCAGGGTGATTTTGTTTTGAAAATAAGAGCCAGTTTGTCTTGTAGAGTCATCACCTTGTAGTTAATTCCAGTGACTTAAATTCAGTGTAAATTATAAAGTTGTTTTATGTGTTTATGTAATTATAAAAATATAGTATATCATATCAAAGCCTTTGTGAATATGTCCCTATTGATGATTTATGTTCATGTGACTGAATTTATGTGTTTCTAAATTGTAATATATTTATTTATTTTCTGTGTTATATGTTTGTACTAAGTTGAGGGTTTGCCACCTACAATAAGGTTTCACACACCCCAAATTTCATTTTTTGAGTCTCAGATTTTAATCCTAGCTCTTTGAAGATTTCTTTAGCCTAACTTATTTCTGTAGTGGACAGTTTGGCTAGGTAGCCTAGTCGCTTACGGTTTACTGCAATCTTTACGGATTGCTGGTTTCTTTAGTAGCTGAAATTAAATAGTTAGGCTAGTTGAAACTAAATTTAGTTAGTTTGGGGAATTTATTGGTAGCTGATAAATTATTTTTAGTGAACATTTAGACATTTTTAGAGTGTTTTTTATTTAGGCCTATCTTAAGCTTATTAATAACATGCACCGCGCAGCAAAGCCTACAACTCTACAAGTTTTAGGTGATTCATACGCAGTACGTTTTTGCAATTTTGCTAATTCCAACCCAGTTTTAACCGGCAAGTTACTACCAGTTTTGGTTAGGGGCATTTCAGGTGCAAAAGTTTCTGACCTCAAGTCTTACGTGAAGTTAAATAGATCAAGTTTACAGCAGGACTTACCCTTGCTGTTTTTCTTAGGTACCAACGATTTCTTAACTAACTCCGACATTGTAAAATTCAAGAACACCTTTTTGTCCTTTCTACGAATGTTACGTCGAAATTATCCCCGGATGGTAATTGTCTTTGCGACTTTGCCATGTTATCCTAGGATAGTTAACTCCACTCCAGCTGTAACACGATTGCAACAAATAAATAAGTTTTTTCTGACACTGCGATCAGACTTCGTCAAGGTAATAGACCTCCCGCAGGAGCTCAGTCACATTCATTATTTTCATATTTATTATGGAAGTTCTAGGCGTCGCGACAAAATTCATTTCAATGGCGACGCTTTCAAGAAGTTAATTCCGTTAATAGAGAATTCTCTTTCACCCATGTCAGCTTAGTTTATTTTTTCATTTTCTCTTGGATAAAAAAAAAAAAATTTAGGGATTTTTCCAGCGTTAGGTGGATGGCCTGGCTTTTCCCCCTTGTTAAAATTTTGTATACACAGGCTACAGGGTCTTGTGAGGATAAGCCTAGTGCGTAGGTTTCAAAAATTTCTTTTTGCTAAAGGCTAGTCTTTAGCAACCATCATGCCTTCTGCAGTGTACGCGCCCAGCGATATGCCGCCTGGCACTTCTTGGGTATATTCACTAAATGCGCAAGACGCGGTGAATCAGTAGTTATGTATTCACCGGTTCTAGCGCAGGATGAGGATGAGAGCCCCCAGAGCGGGTTCATTCCTTGGACTTGAATAGCCCCCCAGAGCGGGTTCAGTCTTTGGACTTGAATAACCTTCTAGAGCTGGTTCATTCCTTGGACTTGAATAGCCCCCCAGAGCGGGTTCATTCTTTGGACTTGAATAACCTTCTAAAGCTGGTTTATTCCTTGGACTTGAATAGCCCCCCAGAGCGGGTTCAGTCTTTGGACTTGAATAACCTTCTAGAGCTGGTTTATTCCTTGGACTTGAATAGCCCCCCCAGAGCGGGTTCATTCCTTGGACTTGAATGTCTGGACTAAGACTCGAGGCACCCTCAGAAATTCAGAGAGCAGTCTTCTGCAGTTCCTTTTCATAGAATCCGCCTATAATTTCCTCGCCATTTTGATCGGCGGTTTTATAATTAACCAGTCTAGTGTTTAAGATTTACGCTATTGTAAATATCTCTGAAGTCCAGTTTTGTTTATATTTATTGAATGTTTATCTTGAATAACTGTTACTCACTATGACGCAACATAGAATAGTCTAGATTGGAGTCAGACACGTGACTTATCATAGAACAATCTAGATTGGAGTTAGAAACCTATATAGAGTATGCTGTACGCTTGAACTGCTAGTTGTGTTATAAAAGCGTTAGTGAAGCGTGTTAAGTGAGTGTGTATAGTCTAGGGTTATAACTACTCTGACTCACAATATATTTTCATCTTGTGGGGTCAAAGTTGAATTAATAGTGGAGATAACTAAAACATGTTCTTAATTAGTCTTTTGCTATCTCGTTGAATAATTTATTTGGTTGTGAGAATATTGTTCTCTATATAGAGGTGATGGCCAACACTACGGTGTGTTTATATTGTAAGAAATCTATTTCTAAGCCTAATATATCAAGACATGAGAAAATATGTCCGCAGAATCCTAATCGGAATCCTAAAGTGCCATGTGATTATTGTGGAATATTGTTCAGTGAAAACTATCTGTCTAGTCATGTTAAAAACTGTAAACAAAATCCAACCATACAACAACCTAAAACAAATCGGTTGGCTCCTTCTAATGAAGATGAACCTCAACCCAGCACTAGTGGGATTAGTAGCTTAAAACGTAAACCTCCGCCTGATTCGACTCCTAATGGACAGCTCCCAAAAAAGGTTATACGTTCGGTAAATGAGTTTAGACCTTCTGGTAATCAATTTACACCACCTTCAATGTTCAACAAAATATATAATACTGCGGCCTCTATTTATTCTGGCATGAAGAAGGTTGTAACAAATACCAACTATCCTCCGACTACTGATGCTGAAATTACTCTTAGCAAACGTGCATTTAAGAGGAGATTGAATGTTTATCATATAGAAAACAATCATAATATTGTAAGGTGCCAAATTTTAAGGGGGGTAAAAACGTATTGCTAGTCAACAAACACCATAACTTACCCGATTTTTATCCACAACATCCTACTCCTAGGCCTATGTGTTGGCCATAGCTTGGACTTATGGGCCAAAGAACGTAGGCCTACTTTTAATAACAGTGAAGTGCACAAACACACCCATAACGATATATTTATTCATAATAGCACTTCGTTTCACATAATAAAGGTAAAACGACCGACTTTACGAATATTTAACGCCGATTACAACATCACTTAACCCCAAACTGGTGTTTATTTGTTGACCATCGACAGACGACAACTAGACCGGCTCAACAGGTGAATTTCCGATCAGCTGTTGGCTAGTTCTCAAACTCACCACCAGAGCGATTAAGCTTCGACCGAGGAAATCATGATTTGAGCCGGACAAGATTATTCGCTGTTTGACCACCGACTAGCTCGCACGAGTTACGAATACAACGAAACGACACTACGATACTATTACGAAGGTTAGCTACCATATTAGTTAGGCCCATTTTTACGTTTTATGTTCTTTCTGTTTTATCTTTCGCATACTTAACTTATTATACCTTTTCGTTTTCTTAAATTACCGATTCGAATTATCTAAATTTAATATCGTAACTTGAGTCTTGACCCGCCAGTTCCTGCCTGCCAGTGACTAGCGGTGGCGATCGTTTATTTTATTT